AAATTCCAAAGAACGTTTTTTCTTTAAAAATAAATTAAGTATTTCCAAACCAAAAAAAAACCTTTCGTGTCCTTTACAAATTTTCGTACAAGTTTTGCACGACTTGGAAGAACTCGAGATCAATATCTTCCAGGAAGGGGAGCTGTGAGGTTGATGCTATTTTCGAGTGGACGGACACATCTTCCCGCTGTTTTTCCATGACGTGTTGTAAAGCGTTGTGCACGTGTTTTTTAAATATTTCTTCAATCTCGTCAAATTTGTGGAGAATTTCGTAAACCTCCTTTTCAGCGGTTTGAGCCTGTTGAAAAATTTCATTTTGGGCTTCCTGTAAACAATAAAATATGCCAAGTTTAAATTTGCAGCATTATTTACAATGGAACCTTTTTTCAAGCTACACCGGGATCGAGTAGCGAGTTATGTTAAAAAAATCAAGCCAAAAATTAGGAATCCTGTGACACTTATCTTTCCTTTGAATGGCCCCTTTGAAGAAAAATATTGGTCGTTAAGTTCAAGTTTTGAGCAAATTTTCTCTTGCTTTTCCTCCACTGGGCGAAAACCAGGGAGGAGTGTGAACTACTTTGACCCCCAATATTTTTCTTCAAAAGGGCCATTCAATGGAATGATACGAGTTATTTGACTCCAAATTTTTGGCTTGATTTTTTGGCATATGTAACTCCCCAGAGCACAGTAGCGATCCCGGTGTAGCTTGAAAAAAGGTTCCATTGTTAGTGGATACATATTTTTTCCAGTAATTTTTTAATTATGAACGGTCGAGGCATTAAAATTATGCTCATTTGTGGACCTCTTCCTCAAGCATAAATTTGAGGCCACTCACTATTTTTTAAGTAATTAATTATTAAAACTCTAAATACGTACAAAAAGATCCCCTATTGACATCGTATTGTTGGCAAAATTTTGAAATCCCGTGCTGTTCGGTGAGACTGCATCCGCGTACAATTTCTTCAACTGGGAAGACACAATTTGTCTGGTTTCCGATCCTTTTTCAGATTCCGAATATTTCTCCATGAGTTGCGCCCCTTCTTTTAATGTTTCCGAGATTAACTGATTTCCTTCCGTGACGCTGGGCAAGATATGAATCATTTTCTCGGTCGCGTTTTCAAGCAGTGTTTGCGCGACCATGCTCTGTTTTAAATAATTAAGTAATTTACAAATTCAAGGATTACATTCAGGGATAAAAAAATTACGTATGTGCGTAAGTAAAATAACATAAGCTGGAAATGTTTGTCTGCAACGGAAGTGAAAGTTGAGAATAAAATACTACGTAATAATTGGTGGAATTTTGGAAATCAAATCCACCCTCACCCGGTGGGAGACGGGCTTATACGCTAGTTAAATAAATTTGCAAATTTAAAATAAAGAAATCCATAAATAAATTAAGGGTTGAAAATTGCATCCCTTAATAACAGGTTATAAGTTCAAGTAGGTACAACCAAAAAGTGCACATATTGATTTACACAAATTACCACCACGGTTACAAATTGTAACCGACCTGGAAATATGTACATGGTCACTAGAGGTAATACATATACACAGTTGGTGACAGCTTTATGACTGGTGGTATTAAGAATGCAGTAGAATTTAGAAAACCTTTATAGTATTCTGCATGCTTAAGGTCTATTTGGATGACTCGTAAATCTCACTTTCCTCTTGCCAACCTCATTAAATAAATAAAATTATTAAAATTGCATCAATTTCATTGGTTTTGGAATAATTTCAACTTTTGATATTTTAAAGCAAAGCAAATTTTCGTCACTACAAGAATGTCGATTTGAAAAAAAAATTCATTTGCCTTTATTTATAATAAATTTTCCCAAAAATGCACTAATTTTTTTCAAATCGACTTGTCTCTACATACATATGTATGTAGTAGGAAAAATTAGCTTTGCATATTGAAAATATGTATCAAAAGTATAAATTATTTCAAGACCTATGAAATTGATTCAATTTTAGTAATTTCATTTAAACACGTTGGACAGGGGAAAGTGAGATTTATTTAGCGTCATCCAAAAGGGCCTTAACCTTTTAAACGACAATTGTCGTTTTATAAGAAATGGTTTAATTCGGGAGTAGGAAAAAAGTTGTCATGAAAAATTGTGGTCATGGAGCGGACAGAAGACAATTGTCGTTTCTATGTAGGAGGTCCTTGATTTACACCATTTTCTCTCCGCGACCTCAAATTTTGAGGGATTTCTCCTATGCCAACACAATGCTAAATTTGAAGATTTTCTTCCCGAAAATTTGGATATTTCCCTATACAACGTAATGTTAAACTTTTTGATTTTTCAGTTTTTCGAGTTTTATTAAAACTCCTGAATTTCTCCTCCCGCGCCATGACCACAACATAGTTATAGCGTCCCCGATTTTCTTGTTGATAATCATACACGTTAAAGGGTTAAAATCTTACTTTCACCCAAAAAAAAACAACCTGTTTCTCCCCCTGTTGTGCCGAGGGGTAGCAGTGAATAAGAAATTGAAGACTTTCACTTATCTCGTAAACTTCCGTGTTTTTTAAGGCAGACTTGTGAACTTTGTCCAAACGGCGGAAAATCAGGGCGACGTATTTTTCCTTCTCTTCCGTCCACTCTGGGCTGAGCATGGTTTCGAAAAAGTGATCCTGTTCCACCTCCGCGTCCCAAACGGTGGGATTTCGAAACGGAATGTCCTCCCCTCGCTTTAAATTTGACCAGAACGCGATAAGGAAATCGACATCCCACTCAATTTCTTGGCCTTGTTCGGGATCCTGGTGAGCCTTAAGAAACTCGTCCCATTCCTCTTCTCTCGGGCTGCGTGAGGAGGAAAGAGTGACGGAAATTAGGAGAAGGATGGACAAAATTGGGATTAATTGCATCTCGTATTTATGGCACTAACTGATAAATTTTAAATAGAAGCGTATTATTCAATTAATCGTTATATTTATGTATCAAGTAATCCTTTATTAAGTCAAGTATTATTAAGTCTAGATGTATTTATAACCTTCTAAAGTTATTTATTATTTAAAAAAAAAATAACGGAGGATGGGTGCTAAGAAGGAGAATTTTTGATGACGTAACATATGGACGGTCGCGTGCTGCGAGAAAGAGGTTGGAGTCTAGAACCACTGCACCAGCGTCATGAAAATGACTCACTTTATTTCTATGTAAATAGATAAATTTTTATGTAAATATCCCACATCACAAACCAACAACTCATTTAATCAGCATGCATGTAAATAATCCGTTACTTATAAACAGAAGGAGGATATGTAAATATGTATGTATGCAAATTCTGCAAAATATGTATTTAATATGTGCTTAAAAACCCGGAAAATATTTACATAATTTTTTTTAACTTCACTTTGTTCCTACATATTGATTAAAATATAATCTTGAGGAAACCTTCATTTTGAATGACGAAAAATATTTTTATACAAAATACTTTGAAATATCTATAAAATATTTATATTTAAAAAATACTCAGAATATACAGGAAAATATGCATATGTATGTACGAAAAATCCTCAAAATACATATGTATGTAAATATGTATGTGTACGAAAACCCAAAAATATCTAAAACTACAGAAATATGTTTGAACTTTTGCGATCGTGCTTAGATGGGAGGTTAGTATACGAAGTTTTAGTACGATCTGAAAAAATTATAAATACATACATATCCGCTGTCTGCTTATAGATTCAGATTTCCCTATATCAGCGATTCGGGTACTTTTAGACTATTTAAATTTGCTTATCTCAATACAAACATAGCTTACAATCACAAACGTAATGTGGACATGCGTGTCTACACTTTACCGTTAGAATTTTGTGGACACTGAAATTTATCCCTACTTACATACATATTTGAATTTTATTTAAGAAAGTATTTATGAATGCATGCTTGCCATAAAGTACACAAGTAACGAACCCTTCATAAATATTTAAGTGCTGCATTTAACCCTTTTAGGAAATCAACCTATCGCTTAAAACCTCACTCACTTCACTGCAGATAAATAATCCCTGAAGGGTCGCTTTTCTTGGAAAATACTTGCATATTTATCTCTTTAACACATACATCCCAAAATCTTTATCGTTTGTTGAACCATTGCTCTAAATATTTTTGGAAAGCCTAATGTACTACCCTTCTTCTTTGTGAGTCTAGGCATTGCACTTAGGGGCCATCGATACATGTATTACGTCATCAAAAATTCTCGATTTCAGGACCCACCCATTAAACGCTAACATTAAGGGGTATGGAATTTTAACATGGGAAAGATATTTAGGAAGACCTAAACTACCACCCACTAAAATGATGACGCAATACATGGACTTATGCCCATTTCTAGACCCATTCCAGAAATGAAGTGTGGTGCCGTACGCATTATGTATCAATGTAGAAATGGGCATAATTACCTATAACGCCTTGACCATACACGCTTAAAAATGTGGTTACGATTACAACCAAAAAGTAAATGCATGTGACTCTACCGCCGTGGTTATAAATTTGTCATCGAGTGGTTACAATTGTCACCCACTAATTATAAAGTTTCACTAACTTGGTACTAAATTGTCACCAGAGTTTAATAAATTTATGACCAGTTGGTGATAAATTCATAACAACGGCGGTGGAGTCATCAGTGTTTCGTTTCTTGCGGGTTTTTCTCATTTTTTGCACTGCAAAGCAAGAAATTCAAGGTGCAAGAAATGCAAGAAAGTGCAAGAAACACAGCGCCATCTACCGACGCGCCGTCAGAACTATGGCGACGGGAAGGAGTTTCTTGCACTTTGCATTTCTTGCGGGTAAAAATAGCTGCAAGAAACCAATTTCTTGCAGTTATTTCTTGCAGGTGGTTACTTGCACCCGAAACACTAGGAGTCATACACGTCTATATTTTGGGTATAATCGTAACCCCATTTCTAAGAGTGTACACGAAGACTTCTGTATTATCCTCGTATAAAATGGGAGGTCTGGCTTTTTTCATTTCTCACTGCAACGGACACACTCGTTTAGAAATAGTGCACTCAAACTAACCTGGTGTCAATCCAGTGCGGTGTTGTCACATATATTAGCACCGCGCGGTGTAAATTCCCCCCATTAACACCGCGTGGTGTCTATATGTGACAACACCGCACTGGATTGACACCAGGTTATTTTGAGGGTGGAATATTCATATTTTGGTGGTCATATTTAGATTATAAAATAAATTTTGAGTTTTTCCCTATCAATTCTCAGTTTTAGAGTTATATAAAAAGCAGGAGTTTTAAATACATTATTTAAAAAGATAAGGGTGGAATATGAGTGATATGTCGGGAAGGATGGAAAAATCTGAAAATAGGGAAAGTTCGGTTTCCGAAATGACGTCAAAACCAGACTGGAAGGGAAGTCACTACGATCGAGTATTGAACCTTTTTCTCACGGGATATCAAAGTGATTTGATTCTCCATCTGGGAAGTGAAGGGTTAAAGGTATTTATCCTGATAAATCTAACTTGATAATTATTTATGTACATATGTATGTATTATTTACCCGGGTGAAAAATTTAATGGATTTATGCAGAAATTTGGCCGGGTTTTATGCACAGAATTGGCTTGATTCTATAGTATAGAATCTATACAGAAACAATTTCAAATTTTTGCACAAGTTGTGCATAAAATGTGCAGAATTATGCTAAACCTTTCTGCAGAATATACCCGTCAGATGTTTTATGCATATATTTTCTGCAGAAAACATTGTTCCGGCCACGTGTGTAGAATTATGTGAAATTCGACATACGATTCGTCGAACGACATATGTACGTGTCAAATTCCAAGTTTGACACGTATGTCGTACGACGAATCGTGTGTCGAATTTGGAATTCGATATACGATTTTCACCCGATGGTTACCATATAAATTTATTTAGTAACGACGTGCACTTGTATGCGGGGTTTGAGTTTGAATTGCTGTGTCTCAACTTTCCCTTCTTCCATATATTCAAATGGCGATTTTGAAATCTATTCACCTCAGTGGGGTTTTTACAATATGAAGATTTTAATGCACATAAAAATCGATAATTTTTAGGTTTACAAAGTTACGGCTCTAGAATTTAGATTTTTTTCTTCTATCAGAAAATATTTAGTTTTTACTGATTATTTTTTGTTTATTTTGTATTTATTTCCTCATGGAAGAAAAAAATCAAAATTCTAGAGCCGTAACTTTGTAAACTTAAAAATTATCGATTTTTAGGTGCATTAAAATCTTCATATTGTAAAAAACCCAGAGAGATGAATAAGTTTCAAAATGGCCATTTGAATATATGGAAGAAGGGAAAGATGAGACACAATTATTCAAATTAAAAACCCGCATACTGGGGCATACAATGCCACCTTAACTGTGCTTACGTTTTGTTTCATTTAAAAATTTATAGATTCCCGTCCACCGAATATTTCTCCTCACCGGGTCACCAGTGCTGAACGAAATGCTCAAGAAAACCGGGGCGGATCTAATTATTAAAGACGACGTGGATATTCGAATTTTCAGGATGCTACTCAAGGTAAGAAACTTTAATTGCTGAGAAAGTAAAAAGTGTGCACTCTCAAGGACGGCGGAGGTTGGGGGACAAGTCGGCCCCCCTGGAGGTTCTGTATTTCTGGGTTATGCGATTATTCTTACCAACCGTAAATAAGTCAAAAACGGATGTACATATCAGAGTTATTTTAAAAAATCATTATTTCCGTTTAAGCAATTTTGTGCTCAAGTAAACACTAACAAACCAATATAAAAAATAGCGTCAGAATGATTCAAATGTCCTTTAAAATGACACCATATCTGAAAAAAATTAAGTATTTTTGACCCTTGACCTCGTCCTCACTATAACGTCAAATATATTAACATCCTTGAGATCGCGGTCAAATATCCTTCAATATGCCACCTCATATGACAATTATATATGTATTTTTTACCTTTGACCTCGTCTTCAAGGTCACGAGGTCAAAAATTTTAACGCCATTGAATTCGTGATGAAATTTCCTTTAAAATAACACCCCACATGAAAATTCAAGTTGAATTTAATTTAGACCACACCCCCGGAGCTGTGGGGTGTGGTCAGATTGACCCCATTTTCGAACTCGAGCCAGAAATAAAAATTAGAAGCACAATGGCGAAAACCGCTTTTGACTATGTTGAAGCATTCTAAAGGTATCCTGTTTACGGACGGACGGACAGACAGACAGACGGACATAGTGATGACAATAAGTAGCTGACGCTACTTATTGTAGAGCAAATGTCTCTTTGGGGGACAGACAGACGGACATATTTAGTGATATAAATCCCAAATATCTCTTTGGGACGGGAAAACACTTAGTTTGGCCTCATTTAAATCAAAAAGTATACGAGAGAGCGGAAAACTCCAGCCCACCATTTCCACCCCACCATTTCCAGCCCGTGATTAACCCCAGCCTGCGAGATTCAGCCCACTAACTCCAGCCCGTGATTATCTCCAGCCCGTGATTATCTCCAGCCCGTGATTATCTCCAGCCCGTAAATTTCTCCAGCTCGTATATAAAAGATTCTCGTTGGATTATGTTCATTTTTTAGTAACGACGTCACCTCCATTTCGTACCCGGTTGGAGACATACATACATAGATAATCACTACACTACTACTCAAAAATAGAGTGCATATTACGTCCAGCGGGGTACGATTTGTCTCCAAGTTATATAAATACTTAAATAATCATCTAAAGTGTATTTATTTATAATTAATTAATTATTTCTCCTCTACATACATAATTATGTATCACTTCCAGTATTTGTACACCGGAGAGACTGACGTGGAAATGGCGGATGCCCTTCACCTAATGCAGCTCGCAAACAAATATCAAGTCCAGGATTTGCGAGACCACTGCGCCACTGTTTTGGAGGGGGATTTGACTTTAGAAAATGTGCTTTCTTTGTTTGAATGTGGGATGGAATACGCTCACGGGGACTTTATCCAGTCCACGCTCAAATTCATTTGCAAGTAAGAAAATATGTACCTGTTCAAAAAAAACTTTTTCATTCAAACTTCAGTCATGCCGCTTTCTGACGGACGATTTTCATTCACACTCCTTTCATTTCCTTTCATACATTTCATTTCACGTCATTTGACTTCGTTTTTTTTTTACTTCGCCACATGTATAAAGCATATGGTTAAAAATACAAGGAGTGAGAAATCCTTTCATTCCAGTAAATCATATGAAATGACTGAATCTTTCACTCATTTTTATTCGAATCACGCGAACTTCATTTCCATTCATTATCATTGTCTATGTATCATGCTTACAAGGGACACTCACGACCTGTCGTTTGAGTCCAGGGTACCCACTATGTTTTTTAGAATCTACTAGGATCCCAGATGAAGGATTCATTCATATTTCCGTGTAAGACTCATATTTGGCGCCATGCCGTGGCGCCAAACTTCAAAATTTGCATTTTCGACCAGTTTCAAACCCCCATAACTTTTGCAGTTTATGTCGGTCTTTCAAAATTTTATGCTTAAAATGATCACAAAGGTCGAAATTTTTGAGAAAAAAATTAAAATAAAAAATTTATAATTTTTGAAATATTTTTAGTATTTTTTCGACGAACCCCCATTTATAAGAAAATTACGAGATTTTGCGAAAAGTTAAAAGTGATAATTTTGGAAAAAATCTCATTGCACACGAAAGTTGAAGTCCTTGTCACGATTTTTGCCAAAAATTTTGAAAATCCGTCCAGGATTTCAAAAGTTATGGCGGTTTCAAAAATAAAAACATACAAATTTGGCGGATTTGGCGCCACGCCATGGCGCCAAATATGAGTTTTACACGGAAATATGAATAAATCCTTCATCTGGGGTCCTAGGAGATTGTAAAAAACATGGTGGGTACCCTGGACTCAAACGACAGGTCGTGAGTGTCCCTTGTTAGTCACATGAATGAAAGTGAACAGGCATGTCGTCGGACTAATTTTAAAACCACGTAAGTGAACTCGTTGTTTAATTCTAAAACCACGTATGTAAGTGCACAACGAAAAACAAGGAAAATAACCTAACTGCAATTCCAAAATAATATGCAGTTAGTGTTCATATTTAAGTTTATACATAGTATGATCTTGCATAAATAATTAACTGCACGTTATTTTGGAATTGGAGTTAGGTTATTTTCCTGGTTTTTTGTTGTGAACTTCGTGGTTTTAGAATTAGTCCGACGATGTGTAAGCTCTGATCTGATAAATTATGTATGTAGCCTCTTAAGGAGTATAATTAACTATTTATAGACAGTGGCGGCAGAGGCAGGAAAACAGAAGGGCGTAGTCCCGCAAGAAATCAGAAAAATTGTACTTTTCCATGTCCCCCCTCTTTCTATATAATGCTAATTTCCCCACAACTTCCACCGCCACTGACTACAAAAAAATGCATTAATCCGGAAACGCTATGAGTATGTACGTATGTTTTGGTCATGATGCGGAACAAGTAGTTTTAGTAAAACTCGAAAAAATCCCAAATTTAACGTTGCGTTATATTCAGAAATACCCAACTCTTTGGCAGGAAAATGTCAAAATTAACATTAACAAAGGTATAGGAAAAATTCCTCAAGATTGAGAAAGAATTTATGTACGTACGTATTTCCAATCTTTCAGAAACCACAATTGTCTCCACCACAATCACAATTTTTCACGACGACTTTATAAATATTTAGTCTTCGTGGGAAATTAAACAATTTCTTTTAAAACGATATTTGCCCTCCTTACGAATCAAAGTGTTAAATACAGGGTGGTTTAAATGTCAGGTTACAACGGCAAATTTTTCAATTCGAAAAATTTGCATTTGTTACCGAAATTTTGCCTCTTAAATTCAATATTTTCAGAATTTTGCCACCAATTTTCCATAAATTTTGATCAAAATTAATAAAAATCTCACCCCCACATCCGTAACAAATGGAAATTTATGAATTTTCCCCGTTGAAAAACTTTCCATGGTAACCTGACATTTACATACATAAACCACCCTGTACATATTTTTCTAAAAAATTATTTTCATACTTGGTAATTTTATCGGACAGGAATGCAAGAAAAATTTTGAAATCTGATCACTTTACCACGCTTCGACTGGACTGTTTAATCGAAGTTATTCAACAGGATTCACTCCAAGTCGGGAACGAAATAGAGGTGTTTGAAGCAGTGTATCGGTGAGAATGAGCATAATTACATAATTACTTAATTTGCATAAATAATGGCCCTCCTCAGACACACGAAAAAATCGTGGCTTCGAATTTCGCTTTATTTTTCGCTTATCGATGGCATGGCAAAAATTATGAAAATTTTGTTCCGACATCAGCTAAGCGACCTTAACCCCACTTCTGAGTTGAGTTTCTGGTCCCTTACCCCAGAGCTCGCTTATCAGGAAGTAAGCTAAAAACGAAATTTGCCACCCATTTTTCCTGCTTTGGATGCAAATATCTTTGCAAAACCTGAGCATTGGCAGATAGTTCCATTTGCAAATTTGACGCTAATTATATTTGTGATTGATTGACACTACTTTGGTCCAAATCTGTTGGGAGACCTCCATTGTTAGTTTAAAAGTTAGCCTCTACTTTTCTCTCTCCACTCTACAGAGAGAACAGGAGAGGCTAACTTAACTAATGTTGGGTTAACGGGCTTATCGACGGGCCTATTTTGCACGTCGATTGACGGGCTTCTACACTAGTACTCCATAAAACACCATCAAATGTAGTATGGCCATGAATAATTTGTAGGTACTGTTTTTCATACCAATCATAACTTTGTCGATATTTTTTTAACTAACCGTTAAGATAGATGGTGGGTAAAATTCTATAGTTTAGCTTGATTTTCTTAACAACGAAACTCTCCCCTCAAAAATCTTCTAAATAAATATATCTAAATCCATATTCTCAAAACTTTAAAATTTCATAACAAAATATTTCGCGAAATTTTAAATTGACACGACCCTATTTAGAAATTATCACATGCACAGTCAAAGGGCCCTGGTCCTCACCTTAATAAATACATAATTTACATAAAAACAAAACTAAAAAAAACATCTTACCCATTTAGAATTTGTACCACCCAAAAAGTCCTCCTGAAATCGATTTATGTTTGGAGAACAAATTTTGAAATGTTTGGAAGACCACAAAATCAGATTTATTATTGGGATCGGTTACATGTCAAGGTCACTACGGCTAGGAAAAATATAAATCCAACCATCTACGACGACGACCAAGACTCGTCCGACCTTCTGCGAATTTATTTACCTGAGGCGATCGAAATTGACGTCGAGGATAAAGTGACGATAAGTTTTTCTGGCGAAATTGGACGTAAGCGGAATAACGAAGCATCTCGAGAGTACGAGCCTTGCGAAAATTATAATGTGAAGGTTGCAAATTATGGCGAATTCGTCACCTTATCCGAAGTCGAAGTAGGGATAAAAATCAGCCGCGGGGAGGGCAACGACCTGCTCGCCTTATGCTACGGTTTAATTGAAAAGTTGGAGTTGTTTAGTGTGAAATTGTTTAGTGTGTCGAATTTTGCATGAAGCTCATTTTTTTAATTACAATTGAAATAAAAAATTAATCTGTATGGTAGTGAATAAATTGTTGTTAAAACGTTCATTTAAAATTCAACGGTTTACAAGATAAATAGTTGCTAACATGATTATTATTTTCCTCTCATCGACTTCACCGATGCACGTTCAAATTATGTACGAAGATCTCTTATCAGCAGGAAGTAACTAATTATCTAGATAAGTACTAACCACGGGTCAGATAATGCAATCTGCCATGTGGGTGTCGTTACACTCTTAGAAATTTTGTTACGATTATAACCAAAAAGTAAACGTATGTATGTGACTCTACCGCGGTGGTTATACATATTTTTATTATCGAGTGGTTACAATTGTCACCGACGAATTATAAAGCTTCGCCGACTTGGTATTAAATTGTCACCAGAGTTTCATAAATTTATAACCAGTTGGTGATATAAATTCATAAACACAGCGGTAGAGTCGACCTTTTCATCCACTCTAAAATTATCCGGTAATAAGTTCTTAATACCGCTTACAGATGTATTACCACCTGTGTGGTAAGATAAGGTATTACTATCAGCGATAATATGGTAACGCTCTATTTATTACCATTTCTTCCACCAAGTGGTAGCAAAGACTACCATCCTGGTTAAGTTGAGAGTCTCAATTCGTCCACCACCTCGGCAAGGCAGTATTTAGTGTTATGCCACAATTGAGTTGTTACTGTACAGTAATAGCAGTATGTATCTACCGGCACGGTACAGTCATACATATATGTTTACCGCGTGGTAATACAATTTCCTAGAGTGTTAACTCGACCTTCAATGGTACAACGAGGACCTCTCCAAAATCTCATAGCACATATTACACTTTAACTATCCAAAACAGGTTTAAAAAATAATTCCAAGAATTATGTATATGAATAAATGCTAACTATGCTCATTTAGGTAATTATCCGCCACGTGTACATAATTCTGAGCCATGTTATGTATCCCTCACAATTTAAATCAATGCATATCGTGATAACAGAGCTTATCATAAATCCGACATTCTACTTTACCCAACGTATGTAACTAGCTTAAGCTGACAGTAGCACCAAGGACGAGAGACCCTGAGGGTCTGACCGTCTACATGTCATCTTCAGATCTTGATGCCTTTTGGATATGTTGGCGTTCCTCATGAGCCTACCAAAACCCTGAAGTGGTTTGATGCCATGGCCCCTTTTGCGCCCGCCACACCCACTCAAAAAATAAAAAACCACCTAAAAAAATTCATTGATTATTCAACATTTATTCGTTATTCACCATTCCTTCATTATTCATTTTATTCAAAATTCACAGTATTAACATGCATTTCTCAACTATCCCTATGTATTAAACCTTGCGTTAAAAATGAATGATAAAAGAAACTATTCATTCATTATTCATTCACACTAATTGAATAGATATTCACTAAATATTCATTTATTCAAAAATCAGAATAAAATATTTATTCAAATTTTGAATATTGAACGAATACTTTATTTATTCATTATTATGTAAATGAATGATTGTGAACATGTATGTAAATATGGCATTTAATGTTTTTTTTTATTTTACAGAAACGAGTACCTACCATCCAACCAGATTGGTCACCTTATGCAAACTATTCTTCACCCTAGTCGAGGCCTCCATGTGAGAGGTTCCCCTCTTGATGGCCACGGCGGGATAACTTTTCCCGTGTGAAACCCCATTCCTCGGATCCTTCCTAACATGCTCATTTCCCTCGTGGAGAAACATCCTGTTCGACTTGTGCATATTCCTGTTCGAATTTATGACCATAGTCGTTGCCACAGTGCAGTACTCCTCGTTCACGCTGGTAACCTAGATTCTTATTTTGTACACAGAATGTAGCTCTTTGTCTAACAAAGAATTCACCAGTTTTGGCGAATCGTTGCTTAGTTGGTGCGAATTACAAGTCTTGGAGAAAGTTGTTAGCAGCATTGCCAGGTGGCGCCTGCTGCCCGGTGTAATTCTGATCGTGCCCATTATCCAGATTCTGAGTAGCTTCGAAACCGTGATGCTCCTTCGGGAGGGTGAGGCCCTTAATGGAATCATGTTTTTTCACAATTTACGCAGACCGCGTTACTTTCACGCTACTAATTTTAAGCCCGGCTGCGCAACTGCTGTGTCAACTGGGAAATGGTGGGCATCCTCGTGGAGTGGTGGGAAGGTTGGACAAGGGAAGTATTACAGACGGGTGGTGAGATCGTTAAAACCGGTGAAAGTACGATTTGCAGACAACTTTGTGGATCACTTGAGTCCATTAATACTTCAGGAGTTTTACGCCCAACAGACGGGTTCTCTACTGCTTTTTGCGCACTCACAATAAAAATGCGAAAATAATAAATGAACTATACAGAGTGGTTTAAATGTCAGGTTACAATGGAAAATTTTCCATTGTAAACTGACATTTATAATAATCTGGCACCCAGTACATATATTCATATAGAATTCGTATTCATAATATATTAACGTTATAATTATATATGTTATTCATAGATTATTGTAATATTACAATAATATTGGTTGAGTCTTAATATATGTACTTATGCTCAGTATAAGTTATACTTATACTTACTTTAAAAAATATAAATCTTATAAAATTATTATAATTAAATATTATATCGATTTCGACCATGACCAAGATATTTAAGGGAGAAATTTAAAATTATATTTGACCAAAGATTTGAAATAAATCAAAATCCATCAAAATCTTTATTATGTAGCTTAAAGATAACTCGCATGAAAATGCCAATTTCGTATAAGAACTCCAATTGTCTTATATACCACAAAATTAAAAACTTTTTAATCTTGCACAAAATTTTTTAATTGTTTTCTGACAAGTACAAAAAACATGACATCTGCAAACTACATCTCATTCCGGCAATTTAATGACGAACTGCTTCGCCGTGGAGACCGGATCTGCTCCTGCGCAAGATAAAAAGTGGACATCCCAGTAGTGCAAATGGTCATGCACGTTGGACAACGGGGCGATGGAGTTGGCACATGTTGGATCCTCATAGACCTTTTTGGAACACACTTTTTCTTCCCCGGAAGGCGAGATCCATAATTCGTTCCCGTTGTGGACGTACCCACCCAAAGCATTTGGCGTATACGCAAAAATCCGCCTTATTTACGACCCGGGTAATTTGCATTGGTTGACCGTTCCAGTAGTCCGCGTAAGCCTGGTTTCCCAACCGGGGAGTGCCGTAGCCGAAATAGGCGTAGGATTTCGGTGTCGGAAAATCTGCGGGGAGTCGGATTTCTTCTTTTAGCAGGAAAAGGGTTAAAATCGCTGAAGCTGCGCCGAGACTGTGGCCTGTTGAGAAGAATACTTTTTCAAGGCTTCATAATTTGCACTTTAGCATAGCAGAAAATTATTGTAGAGAACTGAAAATGGAGGTCTCCCAACTGATTTGGACCAAACTAGCATCAATCGATCAGGAATATAATTAGCATGAAATTTGAAAATGACACTATCTGCCAATACTCCAGTTTAGCGAAGATATTTGCATAAAAAGATGAGAAAACGCACCCCAAGGCTGGCAAATTTTTCGTTTTCTAAAGTAGCTGCGCATTTTCCCGATTTTTATACAAATATCTCCGCCAAACCTGCGCATTTGCAGATAATTCCATTTGCAAATTCCATCCTAATTATATTTGTGATCGATTGACGCTAGTTTGGTCCAAATCTGTGAGCTTACGCTGTGAGACTTCCATTGTGAGTTTCAATTTTGACATTTAAAGTCATTTGGGAGCCCCTTTGGTCAAAATTGTCCAAACCTGGGTAACATTTCTAAAATCCAAATAGCCTAAATTTTCACAGTAGTTTAACTTGTGGTCAAAAGCCGCTTGACCAGCATATCCCGTCCAATCAGGTTTCTACCTAAATAAGTGAAACGTTGGCTGTCACAACTGATCGTCATACACTCTTAGAAACTTGTTATTGAAAAAAACTTAACGGTATTGATACGTGACTCTACCGCCTTGGTATTAATCGGTAAAACCATATTGGTATAGAACCGGTATTGAAATTATACCTCATGGAATAATTTTAATACTAATTGGTATTAATTTTTTTACCACGTAGTATTAATTCGATGCCGGATGAATACCACGCGGTAGAGTAACGTATACATAAATACCAACGATTATTGATTTTTCTAAGAGTGTAGTAATTTTTTTGCTGTAATCATGCCAATAACTGACAAAATTCCACAAGTAAACTTTTTACCAGCGTTCTAACGTGTACCAACAACCCCTAAAAAATACACCACAACAAAACCCACTTACCTATCACCACCACATCAAAATCGCCATTCTCTTTCAGCAGCTTGCCCAATTTGTCCACTACTTCCGGATAGAGTGAGTTAGTCGCGTTAATCATGCCCGTGTGGATCCATGTTTCGGGGCCTTTGCTCTTACCCCGCTCGAGCGGACTGGAACCCGTATCCAGGCTCAAGGTGGACGGGTGGATATCAGCCACCAGATTCGCCGTATTTAGCGTCCCACGATACGAAACCACGATCTCCTTGAGTTCCTTGTTAACCGCGATAAAAGCCAGCGTGTTGGCCTCCTTGTTGACAATTTGCGAGTGGAACTCGCCAAAACTTTGCGCTTTCTTACAGTACGGACACGTCCAGGCGGGAATGTCGAAACAGTACGCGGCCCCGGACAAGTAGACGTATTTCTTGGCTCGGGCGACATCCGGACCGTAGGAAGCGATCGTTATTGGCATCGTGGCGATCTCGTGGGGCGTCAGCTTGGCGGCCTGGTCACACTGACAAAACTTTGGGTGGGAAATTACGGACAAGGTAAAAATTAAGACGGCGTGAAGCTTGAAAATTTTAACCCAATGGATGACAAAAAAGGCATCCATTTCACCCAACTTGATGGAATTTATTCCAATTTTATTCGTAAATTTCTGAGACAAGTAGTAATGGAAATATTTTCCTAATTTTAAATTTATTTCCAAATTTTTAACTACTTCGTGACAATGCATTTATGCAAATAACTGAGCACAATGGGAATAAAGCACAAGATTTTACCCGTGACGAGCAGCAACTGCCTAGGTTGGAATTGTTCAATTGTTAAACAACTGTAACGTTGGAGGGCGAAGAATTACATGTATGGATCAAAAATAATGTATTAATAAACCGGTACAACACATGTAACCAAGGGGTGAAAGAAGTGTGTCAGAGTGTCCATCTTCGAACTCGTCCTGTCCCTTGACGTTAGGAGTTTACGTTCAAAATTTAAAGTCTCTATGTCTTTCCGTTCAAAAGTTATCGGAGCAACGGACAGACGGACATAACGATATTATAAAGGGCGTTCACCCCTTAATAAACCGTTGCAAACGAAATGTAGCAAAGGGGTGAAAACACACGGAATTATCTTTGTGGCACGCCCACAATGTCTTTCAGCACTTTCCTGTCATTGTCTCACATTACCCCACGTCTCATTTTTCCCCGTCTTGACACCGGCACCCGCATAGTTCAAATGTACACGACAATACCTTTCAATAGACACCCTACATGACAAAATGCATTTTTCGACATTCTACACCTCCCACACGGTCATGGAGTCGTCGCACGTCGAAATGATGGCGATTTCTGAAATCCCCTCCAAAAAATACGTCTAAAACGGTGGAAACAAAAAATTCGACGCGTTTGACCGTTGGCGTCATCACAGTGGCGCCGTGGCCTTATGACCTACATCGCCCACCTTCGAACTCATCCTGTCCCCAAAAATTAGAAACACGTTGACAAAAGCCGGATGACGAAATTCGAATCCGTTCTAAAGTTATCCTGGATACGGACAGACAGACAAGATATTTCCATAAAGGGGTTTTCACCCCTTAATAAACTGTGGTAATCATAGATGTAATCAAGTATCGCAGGTGGTATTCTTGTCGTTGCTCTACTTATGGTTCTACTTATCGTTGTCGTCGATTGTCGGTCGTCATTTCTGCTGTTTTTGTCGTTGCTGTTGAAATTATAGTCGAATCTCATGTTGCCCCGACCACATTGTTTCATGGCGGGAGCAATTGACTATTGTTAAAATGTTGCCCTCTGTCGTGGCAACATTTTTTGGTAAAAATCTCATTTTACCCCCGACCACAGCCCCTCACTACCAGTGGGTGTGGTCGAAATATTTGTAACGATTTATGGTACCCTATGGCGCAAACCGAATTTAAAAATGTCTTGTTTCGACGTAATGCCAATTTTTGTTATTTATGTTTGACCACTCCCCCTGACCTATGGTGGGTGTGGTTCTGAATTATGATTGTAATTTTTATTGTAGATCAACGTTATCTACAATATATATCGAAAGAAAAAATTAATTCCCAAAAATAAGATTGACCACACCCACTGATGGTAGTGGGTGTGGTCGTGGTGACCCCATCTTCGAACTTAACCTCCGCTAGAAAATTAGATGAATTATGGCGAAAACGGAATTAACAAATTTTTGACCTGTCGAAAGTTATCGTGGAGACGGACAGACGGACAGACAGACGTCCAGAGCATCCTCATAAAGCATCTGCGATACTTAATAATGAGAGCAACAATGGTTTTATGATTGAGTAGGTTTTTTATGTATGTATTTTACTGGGAAATATTAAGTACCACGCGATGCAGTTTTAGTTACGTATAACCAGGGTTCGCTACCCCGGGTTTTTGTGGGTTGGGGTCTTTGCGGATTTTTGTGGGTTGGGGTCTTTGCAGATTTTTGTGGGTTTTTGTAGGTTTTTCCTGGGTTTTTGTAGGATTTTTAGACAGATTGCAAAAAAATCCCTTAAACTACAACTTAGATCAATTCTAATTAACTTTTATGATTCATTATGAAATTTTGAGAATTTTCATATGCGACTCGAATTTCCATAAAATATCATTGCATATTTCCAAGTTTTCATGGTAGACATAATTTTCTATGTAACTTTCCAAATCAATGATAACGGTTAAAATTGCATGCTGAATTCGTATATTAAATTAGTTTTTCTGTAATATATAATTTTAGGAATTTTGGTTCAACCTGCCCCAAAATCTACAAAAACCCACAACAACCCAAAAATCTACAAAAATCCCAAAAACCTCCGGGGTTGGGTTTTTCTACAAAACCCCGGGGTTTGTTTTCCGAACCCTGCGTATAACCAGCGATAAATAATTGTTCGTAGTAAGATGACGTTGAGAATTTGTATGCAAATTGTGCAGGGGACATTCATAAATTATGTCGCGTAAATATCAAAAACTCCCCTCCACCGTATAACATGTATCACTCAGATGTGATATCTTTGGAGCCTTGGACCCCCTCCTCTTGCTTTCGCGTGACATAATTTATGCACGGTCCCGTATGCAAAATGAGACGGGCAAAATCACAATGCATTTTACGTATGTTGATTGTACATAAAAATATGCATTTTTAAGATGTGCAATGTAAGCTGGATTTTACCAGAAGATTAAAATTTCAGTAGCTTTTCCGTAAGTCTATATACATATCTCTTGAGTTTAGTTAAAACTTATGGAGGTAATATGAAAAATGTTCAGAGGACATCTCACAATACGATGGTGTGAAGTGTAACCCTCCGATTTGGTTTAAATTTCGAAATTAAGTTGTCCATGTGACATGGATCATGTCAATACAACCAACGTTTCTTGATGCAGTTTGTGCGATGGTCAGAAATTGCCAAAATATGTTAGGTCAAAGTTGAAAAACAGGCAATTTTTACCAAGCGGAGGAGGCAAACTCAACTTCAATTCCCTTCCCGTGCTAAAAATTGTACATTTTTCGACTTTAACCTCAAATATTTGGCCAAACTCCAACCATCGCACAAACTGCCTCAAGAAACGTTGGTTGTATTGACATTGTAGAATAATATAGTCAAATTCATGAGGAAAATATGATATTTTGTATATGAAAATGAGTTCCATTATCTTAATTCAATTATTTAAATTATGTTCAAGGTTCAGTCATTGTCCGAGTCATAGTCATGTAATTTGTGGGTTGTGTCTCAAGTAATAAGGTGATTTTAAGCGGAGTTGAATGGAGCTTGGGCCACTCTTTCTTATGTATTTTAAGTTACAAAAGAGAATGTAAAATTCAGTTGCATTCGAGTTGCATTTTAGACAGCAGAGAAGCCGCACGTAAGAATTTGAGACTGCAACAGATTGGCAATATTTTAGTACAAGAAGCTACCAATTATTATCCAAATTTGATGACTGTAATTTAAGATAATCTGAGCAAATTCCAGAAATAGAAATTCAATAGTAGGACGCTATCTTCTCTACAAAACTGATTATTCTTATCGATCATCTTGGTCCTAAAAACTTTGTTTAAATACTTAGATCGTGCTTTCTGCAGACATGGACCACTTAATTTCGAAATTTCAACCAAATCGGAGGGTTACACTTAACACCATGGCATTGTCAGAGTAATTTTAGGATGGACTCCGTACTTAAGTTTTGACAAAAATTAAGAGAGAAGAAGAGCTACGGAAAAATTAAGGAAATTTCAAAAACCTAGTCTTGCAAACGGTTTAATTATTACATGTCTCAATTCTACCTAACTGCAGGTGTCTGTAATGGTAAGCACCGTATGCAAATAGTTATTAAGCAACTTTAGTTCAGCAACTTATTGCGAAGAGTGTGTCCATCTCTCTGTTTCTAATTATAATTTCACTCAAGGTATATTTTATTGAACAAATATCACTGTTGCGCCTCGATTTTGATAAATTCCCAGGCGGAAGTATGGGGTGCTTAAGAAGTATCCGGAATTTTTAAATTCACACATATAAAATAATGTAATGAACTTATTTAAACAAAATATTGATCGGAAAGAGACAAGGTCAGTAACTAACTATTTTTTGCTTTCAAATGTCCATACACCCCTTTCCCCCCGATCTGGAGGAGTGTTTGTCAGACGCTTCATAAAGTGCTTCGCCACTGTTTTGAGCTAACTTTTTTGCGATTCTTGACCACATTTGGTGAAACAAGTTCAAATTGTTGACTGAAGTTTTTCGACTATTATATTCTTTACTGAATAAAGCCAAAAATTGTTAAATAGGTTTAATGCGGGGCAAATTTGGGAGCGTTGTTCACCTCTCCCATGTTAATTGCATTTGATCCGTTTACGGGTGGAGCGGAATATTTTTGCTTAGATCTAATTTCTAGTTTTGCTTGAATGGTATTCTAGAGAGTAGGAGAGTTGTACTTTGTAGAAATAAAGTCATTTCGATAATTTGGGCAGTAAGTCGGGTGGTGGATGACGGCCAGTTTTGATGACTTCAGGCCGCGTCTTTTTTCCGCCAGCTTCTTTAACACATTAATTTTGACGTTTACTGTATTGATAAGCTTATAAATACAAGCTTGTAGGATTCGATGCCCAAGTTCTAAGGTTTAAAATAATGTATAGTGTTAGGTTGCAACTTCATGTATTCCTACTTAACCGAATTTCACTCCGAAATTGCAGATTTCTATTTCTACGAGTTTTGAAACTTTCAGAACTGTCACACGAATGGGAGGGTCGGATATTTTTTTGTGATTAGCAGTTTTTTTCTAGCTCATACCTCAGTAGTGTATGGCAAATTTTTTATTTTTGAATTAGTTGATTTTTATAGTGGTTATGGCTCAATTTTTTGGAGCGCGCAACCGCTTTTTCGTGCTAGTGGCGGACAGCTTTTGCGAATTGCTCCATGGTTTTTGACCTCATTTTGGAACGATTAGAGATATCGATCTCCGGTTT